AAATGGCCAAATTAATAAAAAAAGAAACTTTCCTATGTTGTTTAAATTCTCAGAATTGCTATCATATGGTTGCTATGTTTATAGTTTGAAAAATAAGAAGCTTTATAGATTAAAAATTGGTACTTTGATCATGATATGAATTGCAAAAATTTTCCCATTATTTTGTTGCCTTTATACTTTGAATGATAATTTGAATGACACAGATTTCTTGGGTTGCACTTCCTCTCCTTGAGGATTTAAAAGGCATTTCTCCAGCTATCTAGATGTGCACATTGTGGTAAAGTCGTGAAGTGTGGTGTAGATGGCTCATTGTTTTTGCACAATTGTCCAAAGGATTTTTTTTTAATTCAAAGTTCAGCAATTGTATTAAGATGTCTGTATTACCCATTATGTGTCACTTTTTTCTCAGACCTGAAATGCCCCTTCTAGGATCTGTAGTGATGTCCCCTCTTCCATTTCTGATATTGGCAATTTGGGTCCTCTCTCTTTTTTCTTAGTCAGCCTACCAGGCCATATCAGTTTTATTGACTTTTTACAAAGAACCAGCTTTGGGTTTCATTGATTTTTCTCTCTCTTTCTTTTTTTTTTAAAGATTTTATTTATTTATTTATAGAGGGGAAGGAGAGAGGGAGAGAAACATCAATGTATGGTTGCCTTTCGTGCATCCCCCTGCTGGAAACTGGCCTGCAGGGAAGCAGTCTGCAACCCAGGCATGTGCCCCGACTGGGAATCAAACCGCGATCCTTTGATTCGCAGGCCCTCGCTCTATCCACTGAGCTACACCAGCCAGGGCTCTCTCTTTCTTTTTAAGTATTTTAAATACACTGTATGTATATATGGTCTTTTATCTTATAAATGAATTGCTTTGTTAACCGTTTAAATCCATGGCAAAACATTTAGTCAAAATTTTCATCTGTTTCACAGAAATACTGCTTCAGTTGTTCATCTGCATTTGTTTTCTTGTTCCTTTTCTCTTCTTTACTTTTAATAATGAATATAGATCCTAGATGGTTTATTTTTTATTTCTTATGTTGGATGAGTGGACTTTTCCTTGACCAGTTATTCGCAAATGGTTCATATGTTGGAGACAGTGGATCTGTGTCCAAAGTTAGCAGTATCTGTCCCTGCATGGTGTGAGTTCATTAACTGTTAACTATCCAGCCAATAGAGATAGGCAGCTGTAAGATTCACACCATTTGAACTCTTTCTGATTGGAAAGAGTCTCACCAACAGACTGTTTCTTAAAATATGGCTTGTCATGAGTCTTTTTTTAGTTTTGCCGCCCCTTCTTCTCAGAACCAAACTAGTGTATGGATGCTCTTGTCAAGTACCCCACACCCCCTGTCTCTGTTTGGACATAGGATTTTTGCTTTCTGTCTTGGGCATGCTTCTCATCTTGGGGAAGTGCCAGATTTCTCAGGGGTTCGCATCCCTTCCTGCTTCCTCCCACACACTGTTTGATCTTCACAGGTTTTGGCAGCCCTTCTATCTATTTGTGGCTTAGGGTTTCATATGGAATCCTAGTTACATTTCTTTTTTTAATCATTTTTAATTTTTCAATTACAGTTGACATCCTATATTATATTAGTTTCAGGTGTATACCCCAGTGATTATACAGTATGTCACTTTGTAAGTGATCATCCTGATAAATCTCATACTTTACATCCCCATGACTATTCTGTAACTAATAATTTGTACTTAACCTTTCCACCTTTTTCACCAAACCCCCCAAACCCCTTCCCATCTGGCAACCCTCAAAACTTTTTCTGTATCTATGAGTTCATTTCTGTTCTGCTTGTTTATTTATTTTGGTTTTTATATTCAACTGTTAATAGATGTGTATTTATTGCCATTTTATTGTTCATATTTCTCCTCCTCCTCCTCCTCCTCCTTCTTCTTCTTCTAGACACTTTAACAGTTCATGTAATAGTGGTTTGATGGTGATGAAATCCTTTCCTGGGAAACTCCATCTGTCCTTAGATTCTAAATGAGAGCTTTGCTGGGCAGAGTAATCTTGGTTGCAGGTCCCTGCTTTTCATCACTTGGAATATTCCTTGCCAATCCCTTCTGGCCCATGTTTGTTGAGAAATAAGCTGACAATCTTATGGGAGCTCCCTTTTAGGTAACTAACTGCCTTTCTCTGGCTGCTTTTAAGATTCTCTCATCTTTAGCTTCTGGCATTTCAATTATGATGTGCCTTGGTGTGGGCCTCTTTGGGTTCATTTTGTTTGAGACTCTTTGTGCTTCTAGAACTTGTATATCTATTTGCTTCACCAGGTTAGGGTAGTTCTCTGTCACTCTTTTTTCAAATAAGTTTTCAATTTCTTTCTCTTTGTTTTCCTTATGGCACCTTCATGATGTGAATGTTGGCACACTTGAAGTTGTCCCAAAATTCCCTTACACTAACCTTATTTTAAAAATTTTTCTTGTTGTTATGAAAGGGTGTTTTTTTGCTTTCTTATATTTTGATTCTCAGCTTTATCTACTCTACTGTTGATTCCCTGTAAACTATTCTTCATTTCAGTTAGTGTATCCTTCATTTCTTACTGGTTCTTTTTGTGGTTTCCATGTCCTTTTCTATGCTGTTAAAAATCTCCTAAGTTCATCTACTCTTCCCCCTAAGTTTGTTGAGTATCCTTTTATCCAGTGTTTTGAACTCTGCATCTAATTGATTGCTTATCTCCATTTTGTTTAGTTCTTTCTCTGGAGTTTTGTTCTGTTCTTTCATTTGAGACAAGTGTCTTTGTCTCCTCATTTTAGCAGCCTCCCTGTGTTTGTTTCCATGTATTAGGTAGAGATGTTATGTCCCCCAGTCTTGGTAGAGTTGCCTAATGCAGTGGTGTCCTATAGGATCCAGTGGCACAGCATCCCCAATCACCCAAGCTTGGAATTCCAGGTGTGTGCTCCCCCATGTGGGCTGTGTACACCCTCCTGTTATAGTTGATCCTTGATTGCTGTTAGTACCTCAGTGGGAGGGATGTATCTCAGGTAGATTGGGTATGAAGACTGGCTGGTACCACCATGGAGGATCAGCTGTGCAGGGGTCCATCCCAGGGAGCAGGACTTACTTCAGCATGGCTCTGGTGCCTGCTCCTTAAAGGTGTTGCTTGTGGGTGGGTATTGCTCTGATATGGTCTGAAGCTGTTCACTGGGTGTGCTGGTTCTGGGCCTCCTAGGAAGTATAGGCCAAGGTTAGCTACTGCCTGTGTTCTGCCTGGCCCACCTAGAATGAGCTACAAAGAAATCTGCAGATGGATGCTACATGTGCTGAGCTTGGAAGTGCTCAGGCTCTCCTGTACACCAAACTGTACACCAAGACTGGCTGCTGCTCTTGCCAGGCCTGGAGCTTCCTAGCAAGAGGTATGAGGGACCTAAGGCAAGATGATGCCTGTTTGAGAGATGTTAGAAAAGTCTGAGCATGAGGCAAGATGGGCCATTCATATAGAAAAGACACTGGAAATGGGTTGGGTAGGCTTGAAAGTTGTGGGGCAGGATCTCAGGGAATCATCAGGGCCAGGTGAACAGTGACTGCCAAGGTGATGGAGACTTAAATACGGAGCCTACCTGCCAGTTCTATGGGGGGAAGGGCTCAGAAAAGGGACGATGGCCTCTGCCAGCACTTCTGTCTGAGAGTAAGCTGCCCCTCCAGCTCTTGCTCTAATGCCAGACATTTTACTTCTTCCCTATATGTCCCTGGTGTCTTTTAAGCTACTGCCCCAGAGCTGGAACTCAGAGGGAGTAAGTCCAAGTAACTGCCCGGGACTCCAGAAGCCCTTTGTTTCACTCAGCCAAAATCCCCACTGGTTTTCACAGCCAGATGTTATGGAGACTTTTCTTTGTGGCACTGGGATCCTAAGCTGGGGGTGCCTGGTGTGGTACTAGGACCCCTCACTCAGGGGAAACTTCATAGCTTATATATCCTCCCAATTTCTATCTGCCACATGTGGTTGTGGAACCAACCCGTTCTGAGTCTCCATCCTCCCTACCAGTCTCAATGTGACTTCTTTATATCTTTAGTTGTAGGACTTCCATTCAGCTAGATTTCAGGCAGTTATGAATAATGGTCTGTGATTTAGTTTTCAAACTGAGAATCTGTATCTAATTCTTCCTCCACAGTTTAGGATGTCATTCTCAAATAAATGTTTTATTGTTTTCATAAACTTGCAACTTAGAGAATGCTTTCAAGTAGTATTTTGGCTATTTGAACCATGGACACCCAGTGGATGATTGTAATCAAGAGCATTATGATGGGAATAGTAGGATAGGAAGCAGCACCACTCATAAAAAGTTGCCTGATCCAATGCATTCCTAGTTGTGTATGTTGCATGCAACATTTTCACATCCTATGATTCTATGATCAGAATCATCAATGCCTTTTCTATCACCCAATCTTTCCCACAAGTTTCAAATTTGAAGGAAAACAGTTGTTCCTGGCTATTACTGGGACTATAATCTAAGAACTCCACCTTCTTTAGCTATTAATTTGGGTGTTGCTTCAAGGTGGTCTGAAGCTGTCCACTGGGTGTGCTGGCTCTGGGCCTCCCAGGAGGTGTAGGCCACAGTGCATACTCATTATACCGTTTTGCAAGTCAATTATTTTTATGTCTGTATGTCTGAAACATGGCCTGCTTTACTGTAGAAAAAATAGTGTGGATTCAAGAAGGCCCTGAAATATACCTCTGATCTATGGCATACGTAACATTTCAGCAATAAAAATTTATTCCTTTATGTTACTATGGCCTCTTTTAAAACACATACATTTCATTGAAGATAAGTAAGTTGTCATTACCATCTGTGTGTATATCACTTCAAAAAATGTTTCTAGAGGAACGCTGAGAAAGGAAATAGAGGGAACGGAAATTGAGGAGTACCCAAGATAAATATTGAACACCAAGATAAACATTGTCCACTAACAATTTGATCTAGCCGGATTTGTGTAAAAAGAATGCAAGTTGTTACTCACATTTTATTAATAGTTAAAATTATATGCAGTAGTCCCCTTTATCAAAAGTTTCACTTTCCACAGGTTTTATTCCTCAGTCAATGGCAGTCTGAACATAATAAATAGAAAATTCCAGAAATAAGTATTCATAAGTTTTATGTTACATGACATTCTCAGCACTCCGATGAAATCTCATGCTGTCCTGCTCTGTCCACTTGTGATGTGGACACAGAGTGTCCAGTGTCTTCGTGCTGTATGCTGCTACCTGCCTGTTAGTCATTTAGAAGCTGTCTTGGTATCAAATCGGCCATTGTGGTATTGCAGTGCTTGTATTCAAGCAACTCCTATTTTAGTTAATAATGGTCCCGAATTGCAAGAATAGTTTAAAGTTTATTATAGGTAGGTATAAACAGTAGAAAACATAGTATATGGTTTATATTATCCGTGGTTTCAGGCATCCACTGGGGGTCTTGGAATGTATCTGCCCCAGACAAGGAAGGACTGCTGTAAACATACCTGTAGGCAACCCAAACCAAAAGTTTAGTATGAGAGCACTTCTTGGTGAGAAGGCAAAAGCTTTTAAAATGCTTATAAGTAAATTCTTACTTTCCTTCCTTATTCTATGGAATTTTTAAGTCTTATATTCCATACTAAGTCCAGTTGTCTTTATTGTTATTTTTTCTAAAGCATATCTTTACTTTCTATAAGCCAAGCCTTTGTTTTTGGGTTTTTTTTTTTTTTTTTTTAGTGTTCTGTGAAGCAGTACTGGCTATGCCAACTGGTTAAAGTGTAACTAAACAGAGCAACACCTCGGGATTTTGCAATATCAACAGCACTTAAATTATGTGAAGTGTGGTGTTAGGATTAGATGTAAGCTTTCCAGTGCTAGGCTGGCATGGATAGTTTTTGCTCAGGGTCAGATTACCCAGTCACTTCACTTTTAGAAATAGATTTATAAAAATAAGTTTACAGGGAAACATGGACATTCCTTATAATCTAAGCCCAAAACTTTACATTAGTAAGAACTAATGTAAAAAAAAAGTACACTTTGTACACTGTCCGGTGTGGCTTGGTTGGTTGGAGCATCCTACTGTGGACCGAGAGGCCGTGCATTCAATTCCCAGTTTGATCCACAGTCAGGTTGTGTACAGGAGGCAACCAATCAGTGTTTCTGCCTCACACTGATGTTTTTTTCTCTCTCTTTCTGTTCCTCTCTCCACTTCCTCCCTCTCTGAAAGCAATGCAAAAAGTACATTTTGTGAATTACAAATGCTATACTTAATCATCCATACATTATATGTAAAGTTACCATCATTACCAAAGCCACAGAGAACATACTGGTTCTCCATCTCAAAAGTACTCTTAATCCCTTGGTTTATACAACTGGAGTTATGCTGCCAAGGCAGTCATTTCAATTTCTTGTCCCATAAACAGAAGCACTTAGGCACAAATACTTGGAATAAGAAGATATCTTGAAACAAATGTAATTAATAGTCATGGCTTTGGAGATTATTAGTTCATAGAAATCATGCCCATACCGAATACTGTTTCGTGAGAACTAATTTATTAAGTGATCGTTCACCTGAGAATATTTCCAGAAAAGAATACTTTTTCTTCCTTCTTGTCTTCTAGTCATTTCACATTTTAGCACTAAAAACATGAAAAAGAGAAATGATAATAGCCAAAGAGGGGAAACAACCCAAATGTCCACTAACTAATGGAATGAATAAATTAAATTTGGCATCACCACACAATGGAATGCCATTTTGCATCAAGAAGAGATGAAGTACCGATACATGCTAACACATGGATGAACCTTGAAAGCACTGTGCTAAGTGAAAGAAGCCAGTCACGTGTGACTATGTATCGTATGCTTTCATTTATATATAAGGTCAGAATAGGCAAATCCATAGGGACAAAAGTAGATTAATGTTTATCTAGGGCTGAACAGTGGGAAGCAGGTTGGACGTGACTGCTGAAGGATACAGCCTTCCTTTTGGGGACAATGAAAACATTCTAACTGATTCTAGTGACAGCTGCACAACCCTATGAATACACTAAAAGTCATTGAACTATACACATTACATGGTTGGCTCGTATGTATTACATCTCAACCCATGAAAAAATACAAATGAGAAAATTTTCACATTGGTGAAATATTTGCAATAACAGGCCTTGTAAAAAATGTGGTGTTTTTGGTATAGGATGTTAATGGATAATCAATGATAAAATAGAAAATATTACAATCTTTATAAATATTTTATCTGGCAAAATGTTTTCACTACCATGATGCTTGGTTTAGTGTTTCCCTTGGGGAACCTCAATCTTTTTCTCTTAGGGCCTTCAATTGACTGGATAAGGCTCACCCACATTATTAAGATTAGTCTGCTTTACTCAAAGTCTACTGATTTGAAATTTAATCTAATCTAAAACATACCTGCAAAGCAACTTCTAGACTGGTATTTGACCAAATATCTGACTACTATGGCCTAGCCAAGGTGATACATAATATTAATCATTATAGACACTTAGGTGAGAAAGTAACTAATTTTATTTTTTTTACTTCATTTGGCTATAAACAGAATAGGTCAACTCTTGAGGGAAAGAATCTAGTAATCATACAATCACCATGTTTGGTATTTTGGGACTTAATTTCTTTGCAGAACATAAATTAATGCATGCTTATTACTATAGACTTAAAAAAGTCAGAAAAGAGAATAAATAAAACTACTGTCTTCGTCATTTGAGGGGTTTTTTCAAATAGACTTTGTTTAGAATGGTTTCATGAATTGGAGAATTAAAGTTTTCATGTAAGAAATACTTAAAAAAATCAAATTTACAAAGTGTTTTAAGAAAGCTTATTTTACAATGATGCAAGTAAATATGTCTGTCGTCTACAGACCATATTGCCACTTTTTATCCAATCCAGAAAGTCAAGGGAAACAAAACAACGATGCTCATGAGGCACTTCTGACATCAGGTTCTTACATTTCCAACTGCTGGTCTTGCACTTAACATAAATAATAACAATGTTTTGCATTTCTTTCCAAAAGTTTTGTAACCTACTCCATTACCCACAAATATTTTCTCCACAAACTTAAGCCACTTGGCAGTGAATTTTTGCAATGAAAACATTTTTATCTTAATTATGACTCAAACCACAGCTTACATTTAATCTGGGAACCACATATGCGCAAGATCAACATTTATTAACTGCAAATACACTAAGTTACAGAGAGTTAGTTAATCGACTCTACAATGTTACTGGCCTAGGAGTAGTGGAAGGGGAGAGAAGAAAACTGAACATGAACACATGATATGTGCTGTGTTCTGAGGCCTACCACATGATTTAATACCCAAAATAATCCTGCAAGGTTAAGCTTTCCCTGTTTTTGATAGATTAGCAAACTGAACCTGGAGAGTTTAACAACATTGTACAAAGTCACACAGCTAATAAATAAAGGTAGATCTTTCTTCATCCCAGAGATCGTCTTTATCCACAGTAGTTTCCAATCAAAGGAAAAAAGACATTTTTCTGAGCCTCAGCCCTTGGAAGTGATGATCACTTTCCACTTTCCTAGACTCTCCCAAACATGTGTTAGCTCCCATGTTTTGGCACACCTACAAATGCTCCCGTTTGCTGACAGGCATAGAAAAACCTGGGCTGTTGTACTTCCCTATACAACTGGAAGGTGTTTTGGCAATGGTCCAGGGGCCAGGCTGTTTAGATACCAAATCTGGTTTCTTTCTCAAAATTCAGTCTTTATAAAATTCACTGGACTTTTTAGCAGTAATATCTACATTTGGCTCTATATCCTGTCAAAGTTTCTTCATTAGCCTTGATGAGTTGTACATAGATTCTTATAATTCCAGACAAGTCCCCACACATCACAAAGCTGGGATAGAACTTTGTGATGGACTGAATGAAGAAGCCAATGAATAAAAGATGAGGCCTACATTTTTTTTTGAGACTGAGTAAATGATGGTGTGATTTTCTGAGTCAGCTATGACTGAGAAGCAGTTTAGTGAGGAGATTGCAGAGAAATGTTCCATTTTGAACTTTAAACTGTTCCCTCACACCCGATATGCAATCCCTCCTCACCCTGGTCACTTCTACCTCAAAACATGCCCCTAGTCCAACACTTTTCACCAGTTCTTCACCACCATCTGTATTAGTTCATGTTCACCCAGGATAACAGAAATCATTTAAAATGGAGGATTTAATGCAGGGAATTGGTTACACAAGTGGTGTAAAAAGTGAGAAGCCAAATGATCTGGTGAGGTAACCGAGGGATGAACAACCTTAGGAAGCTGCTGCCATGCCCAGGCTGGAAGCACAAAGGAAGAGGGATCATGACAGAAGCTGGATCCATGGCGATACGAGCTGGAGCCATTCCATTCCTGCCACAGATGCTGCTAGCGGCAGAGACTGAAAAATTCAGACAGAGACAGAGATGGAGAATGACAGAGAGAGAAAGAAAGAAATAACCTGGCTTCCCTTATTCCTGCTCTCCTTTCTCTAAACAGTGCTGATAGCCACCCAGAAGGCAGCTGGCAAGGAACCTGGAAAAGGCAGAATATATGGATCAGCCAGCAGAGGAATGGAAGGGAGAAGAGTGGGTCTGAGAGCAAATAGGCCCAGCTGGCACACTCCCCTAATTCAAGGCACTATGATCTCTTGACTGGGCTGTTATGATAGCCTTCTGAATCTTTCACCTGCTTCCACTGTAGTGTTTCTTGCTGTTAGGGTAAGATTAGGTTACTGTAACAAAGAGGCCCAACAATACTGTGGCTTACTGTGTAGAATAAAAAAACCTTTCTTTCCCTCTCATGGGTTGATGGGGATTTCTGCTATTACAGTGATGCAGAGGCTAGGGTCACTTTTAAGCCATTGCTTCTCCATTTCCTTGAGTATTGTCATCATTTGTAGAGTCAGCTGTTAGGGGTCATTGCTGTATCTGGGTGCTGGCTTTCCGGAGGGAAAAGAGTGGACATGCAGGGCAAGGATATCTTCTTTACCTAGTGATTCAAAAATTTCACATACCACTTTATGCACATTCCATTGGCATATATTAGGTATCTACCCACACACAGCTGCAAGAAAGTCTAAGAAATGTAGTCTTTATCTGAGCAGCTAATTGCATACAAGAAGAGAGAGAGATTGAATTTGGAGGATCCAACTTTTCCATAATCTACACTCCAGTCAGCAGCCAGGATATTCTGTTTAAAACATGTCTTTCCTTTGCTCACAACACTTCAAAGGTTTTCTGTTGCTGTTACACCTAAAACCAAATTCCTTGTCATGGAATACAAAACTCTTTGAGTCCTGACACCTGGCTATCTCTCTGACCTCATCCTTACTACCAGTAGTGGGATTCTTGATTTGTTGCATTTGCCAATTTCTGGGAGGTAAATACTCCTACTATGACTGATATCAATCTAATAATGGAAAAGTCACTGAACAAAGTTAGGAAGAGATGCACAATTCTGTGTAAGCTGACTTCAGGACACTATTGCCTACCATTCCTCAATTACTTAAATTTCTCCAGCCACATTAGTTTCTCTGTTGTTCTTTTACCACAGTAGTTCTCAAAGTGGGCTCACCAGACCAGCATCATCAGTACCATGCGGGAACTTGCTAGAAATGCAGTTCTTGGGCCCCACCCCAGGCTTCCTTAATTAGACACTCTGTATAAGAAGCCAGCAATGTGAACAAACTCTCCAGTTGATTCCAATGCATGCTCAGGTCGGAGAACCACTGCACTAATATACTAAGCTTCCTCCCAACTCAGAGCCTTTATTTCTGCATCCTCTAGTAAACCTAATATTCTCTTCCTCCAGATTTTTATGTTATCCAGGTCTCTGGTCAAATATCACTTCCCTGAAGAGGTCTTCCCTCCTGCCAACCACACTCTATTCCCTTTACGAGAATATAAGCTGACAGCAGGGAAGTTGTCCTCTTCACATCTGCATCTCTAGTACCAAAAAGAGTGTCTGGCATATGCTTAGTAAAAGGAGATATATGTCAGATGAATTAACATATTATACAATTAATGTTAAAATTAGTTTTATAGTCTAACTAGTATACTTAGAAATACAGAAGGAAATACGAAAAAGAGAAAAGATGATTGAGTCAGAACTTTAGAGGTCATCTACCTTCTTCCTCTCAACCCTGTAACCTGAAATTCAACTCACATACACATATGAGTTTCAGAGTAAATTACCTAAAATTATTTTAAGAGTAAAAAATCACCCAGTATTTCTATTTATTAGTTGCTTCTGGTCCTTTCTTTTGCAGGGGGAAGGGGAACAACAGCCTTTTAAGCTATAACTCACATACCACACAATTCACCCGCTTAGAAAGAATATAATTCAGTCGTCTTTAGTATTTTCACAGAATTACGCATCCAGCAATGCAATCAATTTTTTAGTATTCTCATCACCTTCAAAGGAAGCCCTATGTCCCTTAGCAGCAACCCCCTCTCCCATTTTTTCTCAAGCATCCCAGCTCTCAACAACCACTCTACTTTCTGTTTCTATGAGTTTGCCTATTTTAGACATTTCATATAAATGGAATCATAAAATACGTGGTCTTTTGTGACTGGCTTCTTTCACATAGCATATTTTTAAGGTTTATCCAATGTTTTAAC